CAACAAATAATTCTCCTTCTTGATTAACAGATGCAAGTTGTAAAAATTCACTTAAAATTATACATCGATAGTTAGGAAGTGATCTACCAATTGGAATGCTTTTAGGATTAGCTTTAACATCAATAAGATGAAGTGTACAAGTGATTGTTATCTCCGCAGGACCGTAGTAATTCCATACATTATACTCTGACACACTGTTATTTGCGATTAGAGTGCTTAATTGTACAGAGACTGATTCGCCTACAAAGAGAGATGAAACAGAACAACATGCTAAAGCTCATTTCTAAACTACTTACCGCCAGTACATAGTGATCGGAAATATTTTGAAACAGCCGTCTTGTCAGACTGTGCAGCAAGTGTGAAAAAGCTTCGAAGTAGACTTGGAACCATGAGTATGTATGTAATTTGTTTCATTTGCACGATATTGGAGAGATAGTCAAAATCGATTGTTCCCCTTGGATGAAGCATAACCAATGTAGCTCCGTGCATCAAAGCTCCAAATATTTCTTGAACATGAATATCAAATGAACATCGTGCGATCTGAACGACATTATCATCTTTGTTCAATACGTTGATCTTCACTAATGAGTTCATGCAATGAATGAGGTTTTCGTGACGCGTCTGAATCTGTCAAAATATTGAGCAATAAAAATTGATGCAGAAATTTAAATATCAACATACCGCTTTTGGTATTCCAGTTGAACCACTTGTGAAGATAATATAAGCAATATTATTAGGTGTGACTGTAATACTTGATAGTTGATCAACATTAACATCATTCTTTGCCTCATTATTCAACAACATTGATTGAATGTCAATCAAAAGAATATCATTATTAAATTTCATTTTTGTTAACCATTGAACAAGAACAAGACGACTTCGTGTTTGTTGTATAAGTGTATACAAACGATGTTGAGGATCTCGAGGTGATAATGGGCAATAAACACCACCAGCCATTTCTATTCCCATTATACCAATCACCTAATCAAAAATCAATCTTAAACTCTTATCACTAATTATTTCTCCGAATTGACTTACCATTGATAAACTTCGCTCAACACATTGGCAAACTATTTCACCTGGAATGACATGATATTCATTAAGAAGAGTTAAAGATAGTATCTGAACATAGTATAGAACTTCACAATATGTCAATGATTGTTCATCTAGTTCAACAGCCAGTTTTTGTGGATGTTGTATTACTTGATAAATAAATTCATGATGAATACAAGTGATCGAAGGAAATGAGGCTTGTGTATTATTCATTGATTGTATGAGTAACCTTTCGTCTGGCATGATGAAGGGTAATTCATAGATGGATTGAGTTGTTTGATTATGAGTAGATGCTAACAATTGTCTGCACATTGAATGAAATCGTTGAGATATCTTATGAATGGTTTCGACATTGAACAAGTCACATGATGCATTGATTGTACAAGAGAATTGGTTTATATCGAAATCATGCTGAATACTAAAAATGAAGTCAAACTTGTTCGCGATGTCATTTTCACTAATCTTGATCGAAATAGGCATTACAGAGAGATGACTGTCACCTATAATCACGTCTTTGCAGAGATCTAGTGGTGAATATCGTATGAACTCGAATAATGTATCGAGAAATGCAGGTTTCAAAGCACGTGGCTGTTGATCTAGGAGACGTTGTAGTGGAAAATAAGAGTACATGCGACTGTTCGTTAGTATTTCTTCAACATGCTTAACAAGTTTTTGTAGACACCATTGTGGATCTAGTTGACATCGCAACGGAATAGCATTGACAAACATACCAATCACTGATCTAAGCTCATCTCTGTATCGACCATCTATGCTCATTCCAATGCATAGATCTGTTTCTCCATTCGTCAGTTTAAACAGAAAGATAAAATATAGAGATAATGCTAGATGTTCAAGTGAGATGTTTTGTGAAGATGTGTAGTGAAGGAAAGTGTCACAAAGATCATGATCTAAATCGAATGAAATATATGTTCCCAAATCAGATCGATGATCATTCGTAAGTCGATATCGATCATATGGCAATGAGAGAGACTGATCTAGTTTGTAATCGTGCAGAGCATCGTGCCAAAACATACTTGCGCCAATCATAGGCATGTGTTGTTCAATGACAGCATCTAAAGAAGAGAGAAAGACATGATATGATTATAAAAAGAGAAGTATGGATATTTACAGTCGAGATAGCGAAGTCCGCTTGTGCTGTCATCATTGAGAAGCTGACTTGTAGTGTATGCTTGATGAAGATCATGGAGAAATATCTTCATCGATGGATAGTCGAACGAGGCATGATGGAAGTTGAAGATGATAATATCGTTATCGGAGATAAGATCATCGATAGAAACCTGTTTATAACGAACAAGATGCCATCGGAAGACAAGACCCTGAGCAAGATCGAAAATATGAGGATTATGTGTCTCATTGTGGATAATTTCATCCAATTGTTCATCTGTTTCATAAATGCTTTCGACTATAGAAAACCGATTGTTTTCATGATTCTGTTGGTCAACAATTCGTTGTGTAAGAATGTTTTTTGTAGTATCAAAAATAAATGACGTTCTTAGAGATTGATGTTTGTCAACAACAAGATCGAGTGCGTAACGAAGCTGTTGAACAGACAAAGTATGATCAGCTGATAGACGATAGCAGAATGCCATATTGTATGTTGTCAATTGTGGTCCGTCCAAATGCAAACGACGTTCTTCATCATGCCATATTCGGTGTTGAGCATATGAAGCTGGTTCTATGATAGACAGATATTATTCTTACACACTTATTACGTTTATTCTCACAACTAAATACTCGAGTCTCTCGCAAATAGCAATACGTTATTGTTGTAATGGAACAGTTCTCCAATATTAAATTACTTTCAGACACAGTTCTTTTGTTAAAATGATGCGTTTCAAACTGATGACATTCTTTTATCAAACTTACTATTTTTTATATTTGAAGGGATTTAAACTGATTTCACAAGTTATTCGGTATGTACGAGTTTTAATTCATGCAGATATGTAAAAAGGAATTAGAAACGAGTTTTATTCGAAGCACTTACTTATTTCGGAGAAATGTCGTAGTGATTCGTTGATGTATGATAAAGTTTCAACGTTCATTGGTAGAAGAGAAAGATTTCCAATTTTTTCAAAAATTGGGTCGAATCCAATTGTTTTCGTATTTTCAGTAAAGATATGTAGAAGTAGATTCTGAAAATATCGACCAACGTTGGACACCGTCACTTCATCATAACAATCAGCGCTACACTCAAAAATACAATAAGTCGTTTGGCTGGACTGATTATGAATCATTCTTATGTTCATATCATGAGAAGCAGTACCATTACCATGTAGCCCAGGTTGTTCAGTATATAAACTTAATGCCGCATCATTTGTCTTGCCTATCGATTTCGTTTCACTAGTTGAAGAAGAGTGAATTTCTTCATATTGAAAATGTAATGGAATCTTATTTGAACATAACTCCTTATTATCCCTGATGATCTGTTGATAAGGTAGTTGACAGTGATTAAGAATGTCCATGCCCAATTCACAAATTCGCTGTACCAAGTTAATAAAGCTTTCATTTGCATTAATTTTGATACGATATGGTAATAAATTCGCAAACGTACCAATCATGCGTTTTGTATCAACGAATGATCGATTTTCTGTGGGACAGGTCACACACAAGTCACTAATAGTACCGTCATTGAGTTCATAAATAAATAGAAAGAAGCACGCTAATGCTGTATGAAACATAGACACATTATGCAACGATACAAATTCCATTTGAGCTTTTACAAGAGTCGAATCCAATATAAAAGATGTACTATGCCCTTCTCCAGAACGTTTTTTCGTGTCGAATGGGCGCGTAAATGGTGTCGAATAGTATGCATCAAGGCTGTAGTCATCCATCATTGTTGACCAAAACTGTTGGGCTCTTCGTATTTGAGAGTCTTCGGCGATATTAACGAATTGTTGATGCTCGTATAGACTAAAATTGATATATTGTAACCTTTCAACATCCACTTCCATTTGATCGTATGCTTTTGTAAATGCAACAAGAAACGGACTGATAGAATTATAATCGAATGCTACACCATGAAATATAAAAATAACCAAATCTTGAGGATATAATTTGTCCATGTCATCGTCAGATCCCATCTTAACTAGATGACAACGAATAACTAAACCATGTTCTAATTCAGCAAAATGTTTGACCGATTCATTTCTAAGTAGATCAGCAATTTCATCAGGACTTTGTATATCGTTTGCTGTTATTTCAAAGGAATAAGCATCATTGTTGTCCACAGATTGCACTGCTTGGACCAATATGTTGCGATTTTCATCGAAGTAAATTGCTGTTCGAAGTATTTCATGCTGTTCAAGAACAGCAACAACGGCCGAACGAATGCGCTTAATTGACATTGAGCCATGCTTAATCACCAAAGGTAGAACAAAGTTATGCATTGCAGGTGATATTAATGAGTCGTGATGGATCTTTTCGTCGAGCCATATTTGTTCTTGTGCGAAAGATGCAGCACCTTGCGAACACCCAGCAGTAGAAATAGCTGATGATGCTGGTGAAAGCATCATTTCTTGCTCTTGAACCTTTTGTAATAAAGCCATTTCCATCATTGTTGACATTTTGTTTTCAAATTTGTTAAGTAGCAGAAGCTAATTAAACAAGTATTGTGAGAAATAGAATTATCTGAAAAGAATAAAGCAAATACAATCGGTCTCGTCGACACTTGTATCGAATCAAACAAAGAAATCAGAACTTCACGATATTCTATCACGAAATTACATAAAAATTAAAATTAATATGAATGTTTTACATCACCCATGTTGTGATGATCGTAGTTACTTGATCAAATGAAAACCTTCATAGTCATTGATGGCGATTTTTTCGCATTATTCCATATAAATATCAAAGCCTCCTACATAAGATAAAAAGACTCGTGGTTTTCTAGGGATATTTGCTCCGTTGTAGATTGGCTTGGATGTTCAAAAAAGCGTATCTTCGACAACATCATTTACATGTTTAACCCAAGTATTCTCTGCCTCTAGAGAAGGTTCTATTATATTGATATCATGTGTTCGTAGATATTCCAAACATTTTGTTATCCATTTAATATGTTGTTCGATATGTGGAACCATACTAGCTAAATCAGATGGAGCACCGAAACCACTAATTGTAAATAAGTTTGAAAAGTCAGCAATCATCAGACCTAGATTAGTATGCCATCCTTTTTTCCATTTCTCGCGAAGAGTCTTGCCTGATCGATCGTGGATATCTATATTGAGTAATGCACCGGTGAAAGCATCGAATCCAAGTGCAAGAACAATGTCATCTATTTCATAGATCTTGCTCCCCACTCGAACTCCTGTTGTCTGAATTTTATCGATGCTTCTATAACGAAGATCAACAAGTGTGATATTATCGCGATTAAATGTTTCATAATAATCAGTGCCACTACAGGGACGTCTAGTACCAAAAAAATGAGTATATGGTAACAAGAGTCTGGCAATAGTAGGATCGTTGACAGTTGCGCGTATCTTAGACTTAATAAAATTTGATACCATTATCATTATTAAAAATATGAAATGTACGTACTATTTTATGTTTATTTAAAATATATTCAATAGCTTCTAATAGACGATCTATTGATATTGAACCTTGAATAATTTTTAAAGCAGTCAATTCATTATAGATAGCAATTTTATTAGAAAAACGCATTTGTCCATCAAGAAAAATGCCTTCTTGAGCAAAAGATGCAATACCTAAAGATTTTCATTATTAATGAGAGAGAGAAAAAACAAAATTTATTTTATTTTTTAAATATTAACATTACAATTTCTTATTACCTTGATTGATATGTAGTGTATGCCAATGTTCTGATTTCATTTGATTGATTGTAATCGATTTCACTAATTGTGAATGTTGAAGAATAGTTGGCTGTTGAAGAAATAAAGCAATAGAAAGTACACGATTATCAAAATCATATAATTGTTGATGTCGATGATAAAGTTCAATAAATAAAAGTGAATGACCACCAATACTAAAGAAATTTGC